CTAGGTTGAAGGCCATCGCTGGTAGATCTCTTCTAGGCTTTTCAGATGCAGGGTTTGTGTGTATATATATATATATGTGTAGTATATACATATAGCGAAGGTGCCATATAGCGGTATATGCATGGTAATTCAAAACAGCCCGTAAGCTTAGAAGGTGCGCAGCAGGACACCCCCTTCTAAATTTATCTACTGTGTTGAAGTGCCGAAAATGCTACCTTCTAAGTTCCGGGCCGTCGTTATATGTATATATATATATATGGGTTTGTTTTTTTAACGTGCACTTCCTGATGTAGCGGTTGGAAGTTCGACTTAAGCGATTCATACCCTCGAATCATACCTTGAATCATACCCCCGAATCATTCCCCTCAAAAAGTAAGTGTAAGAACTAGGTGTTAAGGTGAAGCTTTTGGCTGGTCTTTGTGTCTTGTAGATGTCCATGAACCGATGGTGCATGACGTTTGCAATCTTTTGATCCAAAACCACTCAATTTGGCCAAAATTGTTTGTCTTTTTGTGGGAAGAGCAACGGCACCAATGTTCCCATGTGCCCTCGCTTGGGAAGAACAGCCACAGGATCGCCTTCTTTTGCCGAATAATGGCCATACCGAATCACCCGATTCATGCCCGATTCATACCCGAATCACGCGCCTCCCCACGGGGGCCTGCAGATGGCCACTGGTGTGTCACTGTAGTCAGAAGAAGTCAAAAGGATCCTGCCTTTGGTGGGGCTTGGGGTCTTTGGTAGAAGAGAGCACTTGCCTAGTCTTCCCAGCAACCAACAGATACTGCTTGCCTACTGCCTCACGGCGCAGATGTGGGCCCACTGCTGGAAGTCCAGCCAATCCCAACAACGCAACTTCAAAGCTGCGAGTCGTACCCTCGAATCATACCACTTATTCAAACTTCCCGGCCCGCTGCGGTAAACATGCGCACCCACATATATATATATGCACACACAACACACATCTCTCTTTCTATATATATACACACACACTTCCTTTTATCAGATACATATATACATATATAATGACGGGCTTGTTTAAGACAATGAGTTTTTTTACGCCACGTGTATTTTCACTTCTAGTTTGCATGCTTTTTGAACAGGTAGTTCTCCGACGATACCAAACACATTGTAGTTAGTATTAATGTTCAGGTTTAATTTCACATCCATACAGTAATACACCAAAAAACGCTTCTACACTACGCTACACAACGCGACGCGTGCTGTGTTGTGCACACATGCCTTCTTGTACACTTGTGCACACATGCATCTTTATAAAACCCGTCTGGTGTTGTTCATATCTAACCTTAGATTTTATAAATACCTTCAAAGCGTTCGTCTAGCTGCTACACAATCTACTTCTAGGTTTTCATCAGGCCCTTGCAGCTACGACACGCGTTCCGGACAAGATCCACAATAATGCTGATGTCACATGGACATGTGTTCTAACAGACCATACAGAGGGAAGACAGACACTTGGGAATTATGTGCCCAATTCATTGTACATCCATGAATCCAAGAAACTCATATTTTTTGTTGCTGCTTCAGGGCAAAGACCCGACTTGGCACGTTAGTTGGAAGACTGGGGGGTTGGAAAGCAACTAGACAGCTTCAGTTCACTATTTGACTTCGTAAAAAATGCAACGCATGTAAAAAATGTGGTGTTTTTCACGAACGTGTCACTGTCCTAAGTAACCCCGGCGGTATAAATAAATATATACATATGTGTATATATATATATACATATATGTATATATATACATATATACATATATGTATATATATACATATATGTATATATATATATACATGACCCGTATTTATATAGACAAATCTAGCTGAACCTGAGGGTGATTCAACTTGCTTTGCAGGTTTGTTTGCAAGGGATGCCTAGGAAGTAGCCAGGCTGTGAGAAAATTAATCGTTTGTGTATCATAATGTTGCTAGCTTTCAGCATTAGAGCCTTTGCGATCACTGTTGCCCTTCATGCAATTGCTGTGGGTGGGGAATTGGAATCTGAATGTGGTATAGCTGGAGTTTTGTCCCCGCACGCGTGTTGTGAAATTCAGAGCTGAAGCTAAACCGCAAACTCGAATGGGCCAACTGGGCATCCTGAAGGAAAACAAACTTTCAGGTAAGGAGTAGTCGGGTAGTGAATGTCCAAAACCCCAATCCATAAGTATTAGCTTTCTTAAATCAGCAAGAGGTAGTCAAGTCCAGCAAAGATGTAGATGCGTAATGAGTGCAGCTTGAAACGTCTGAGGAGTTCTGCAAAGCTCTCGCTTGTAAGGGCAGCTTGTGAACCCTGTGCTGCACTCATGGTAGAGTTATGACGTGGTCACGAATTCGGTATCATTAACTTCCGCAAGATGGCTGTGCCAAGCAGGCTGAACACCCGCGCATCTCCAAACCCCAAATTTATCACAAAAGGCCACTTGCAAGTGGACAGCGCGCACGAAAGGCATCCTCATGCATATGTGGCAGGTGCCCGCAAGCTAAGGTGCACTGCAAGTGCCCATTCACTCCTGAGCAACAAGCTTGCGCTTTAGTGACCGGGGCTCACAAGCATTGCAACAACATCAGCATAGTTCCAATCGCTTCTGTTTCTGCGATTTCAATCACTTTGGGCTTTAGACTCTTTCCAAAGTCCTTTGCTTTTTCCCTCATGGTACTTGTTCGCTATTGGTCTCAAGTGGGTATTTGGTTTTAGATGACACTTACCACGTTATGCTGAGTTTTTGAGGATGGCTTTGACAATGTAACAAGTAAATACATCTATATATATATATAGTGGCTTCCAAATTGCAGCCGAATCTCGATCACTTAAGCAGTGCCTAAATGTGTCAGAAGTATATAGTTATATAGTATATGCATTTATCCAAGTGTCATGAACAATCAAGTTTAACTCAGAAGAGTTGGAGATTGAATTCTTCCTTTGTGATCACCTTTTTGCCCGGAGTGGACACAAAGCTGATGCAGTAGAAGCAGGTTGTATCGACCTACTTCTAGATAAGTGATTCTTGGAAATTGCTCCTGAAGTTGTGCCAGGCTCCCAATGGCCCCTTGCACTCAACTTGCTTCAGGGCTTGACCCTTCAACGGCTGCAGCCAAGCTTGGCTCCTTGGCAAGTGTCCATAGTAGATTTTTGGTGGGCATCATATCTGGCAAGGGCCCAACCCTTTTGGATCAAGACGGGGCTGAGGTCCCGAAGCTCACTGGTGTGTTGCATGCCTTTAAGTGAATGTGCCCTAGAAGTCCTGTGGTGTGACAAATGAGTTGGGTGAACACAGCGTCAAACCGCCACGAATTACGAATGAACCCATTGGGATGTTTTGAGGTTCCTTGATAAACCACGCCGAGGTGTGCTACAACACAGCCCTGTTGGCCTGTGGGCGCGGGAACCGCTGGCAAGAGATGCTGAACCTGATGGAGGCCACCAGAGATTCGCCCTGATGCCACCTTGGGTGTGATAGACAAGCAGTCGGACCCAGAGAGTGAAACAGTTTGCCAACATCCAGTGCGGATACATCCCACTAGGGCTGGGTTGAAATTGAACGTCGAACCGTTTCCAGTGAAGCCCTGCTTCAAGAGGAACACAACCTCAAAGGAATGGACCCTGTCCAAACGGTTGGAGCACCGCTCCACCGCAGCCCGCCCTATGGCTCGCGCTTTTCCTCAAGCGCTATGGCTCCCAGCCCTCCCACCTCGAGCCCCTTCTGGCATCGGTGAGAGTCAAGCGTGACGAGACACCTGGAGATCCTAGGCTGGTGAGTATACACGTTTCACACTCCCCAAAATCAGTGAAACTTTAAAAGATCAAACAAAACATTTAGGCAGGTGCATCGGAGTTCAACCATTTGAGTGCTTGCTTGCGGTGAGCATTATAACGGAGAACGGCAGTCTCATCAAAGATCTGAAGTTGCGCGGTTCGTAAAGTCGTTCTGAGGAGATCACTATCCATGACTTTGGTCAAAGCATCTGCTAACATTAATGTTGTCGGAAGCCATCTGAAATGTGCATGTTCCGCACACCGTTCTCTAATAAGGAGAACTTCCAGAGTCGTTCTGTATTCCTCACATGTGGGGATTGCAGTTCTAGTTACCAAATCAAAAAGGGATTTGCAATCCGTGGTTATGATAGCCCGGTTGAGTTGTTTGAAGCCTTCCGGAGGACATCTCCAGTTGAACTCAGGGACGAGCAAACATCCCCAAAGAAGTCGCATCCAGCTGAGTCGGTCGACGCTCTGGCTCATGGAAAAGGCTTCAGCTGAAATGGTGGACCTCACAACTCTTGAGATCTTCTTTGAGGATCAAATCAAAGGTGACAGTGGACCTTTGCGGTTCTGATCGAGACACGTGGACGTGGCGCAGATCAAATGACCTTGGAATGAACTTAAATTCTTTGGGCTGGCAAAGGAAGCATCTCCGAACGAAATGTGAGTTACGTCCTCTGGGGTTATGGATCGAAACCAAGTCTTAGTGTCACTATGTTCCTGAGCTTCACGCAAAACCTTGTTTGCCAAAAGCATGGTTCCAACAGTTGGTTTGGACAGTTGGCATTGGACTTCACCTAGTCTGGAAGCGATGTCAGGTCTTGTGTGTGTTACGGCATATTGAATGCTTCCAATGATCCCTCTAAGTTTTGACAACTCGGTTTCCGTCAAGTCCGATTCTGGTTGTTCACGGCGGTTCTTTCCGATATCAATGGCCATGATACCATGGACATACGCTTCTTGGGAAGCAGAGATGGATCCATCAGGTTGCTGCTCCAAGTCAATACCCGTGAATTTGAATTTACGCTCTTTGAATGAACCGAAGGGTAACCGTCGTTCTAGTTCCTTGAGTTGCTTCCGAAAGAACTGGTCACCACCACCTAGGCCATCACCCACGTGGGTTCCTAACACTCCGTGCAAAACAAAGTCTTTGCCCTTTCCAGATGACAAAAAGTGGACACATGGTTCAAGAGGATGAGTCTGGAAATTAAGTTCACGGAGGTGTTTGGTCAGTTCCCGGTAGAAAAGCAAAGGAGCATCTACACGTCCGTAGGCGTTTCCGACTAGTTGGCAGATCTCCGTGGGCTTGAGCTGCATTTTTCGACGGAGTTCTTCTGGAGGTTCCATTGCTAACGGATTCGAAGCATCGGCCTTTCCCCTTAAGAAAGCAGTCGTGAGTCGTGATGTCAAAAGAGCACAGGTTCCATTTCATTGAAGCGATGCATTGTAGTATTGTTGTACGGCCCTCCTTGGTGAGGGTGGGTGCGTCACGCTCCACCTCGCAAAGTCTCGGATCCATAAATCCTAATACGACTAAGCGAGCTTTCGCTTTCCTACGACGGGGGTCGTCGCTCTCTTTCCAGGTCAATACCCATCTGGATCTAAGGATCTGCTCGGGGTTGAGTTTCTGCCTAAGGATAGGCCTGATTGCGTTGGTTTGCAACCAACACGATAGCTCAAGATCCTTTGCTGCAACAAACAACTGTTCTTCATGGGACAATTTCTGAAGCTGAACCTCTGCTCTTGCCCGCTTGCCAGCTGTCGCTACATGTGCCATTTGCTCGGGGTTGTCTTCAGATGCCCAGGCTATTAAATCCTTATCGGTAAGGGGAATCTCTAGGGCAAATCCTTCTTCTTCTGTCGGCTGGAGGGTTTCAGCGACGAAGGCAAACCCATCGTCGGCCAGGAGGCATGAGTCTCCTGCCTCGCCGAACATGGCTGTTTCGCATGTCACGAGGTTCGGTGACATATGGTCGATTGGTTCAGCGAAATCGTTTGAAAGGCATTGAATGAACAGTCCTACTTCAGTCTCCATGAAAGCAGCTTGATCCATCAGTTGTTCTTCATCATTTTCTTCTACCGGAGGGTCTGGATCAAGATCAATGGCTTCTCCCATGACTCGAGTGTCTTCTTCATTCAAAGGCTGGCTTGCCGTTGAAGGCGGGAGTTCTGGCACTTCGAGCGGGATATTCGGGGTAATTTCTCTTTCGGGTTGGGCATCAGGTGTTGGTGGAACTGACAGGCTTGTGCGATGTGGTTGAAGTGACCGAAAACGAGTATCGGCATCTATGGCAGTTCCTCGAGAATTGGCAGGATTATCTGTCAATGGAGTCGGGTTTGCAGATGTTTGATTTTGGTTCCATTCTCTTAGGGACATGGGCCTAAGGTTCTCTGGAGGACACCTGATAACACGGTTTTGGTGACTTAGCCATACAGTGGATTGTCCCTCTTGTTGAATGACACGCGCTGGACCATACCACCGGCCACTTTCACCTCGAGAGACATTCTTTCTACGGAACCAGTACATGACCGACTGTCCTGGATGGAAAGGTCCTCGAACAGGGCAGGATCTTCGCAACAGAGCCCCTCGAACTGCTTGATGGTTATCAGCGTCTTAAAGGCTATTCGTGCTTCATTTCGTCTAGTTAGAGTTTCATGGAACTTTGACGTTTCTGGGTTGTCATCTTGTAACGTGTGTGCACTCGTGGTTTCATCTCCAGTGAGTGATCCTGGTATTCGAGTCGCCTTGCCAAGGACAATCTGTTCTGGCGAATAGCCCTTGTGTCGAGCCATCTGGTTCTTGGCCATGCAACACGCCGCGAGGGTCCTATCGAAATCTTGGAGATCTCGAATCATGCGGTCTTGGTCCACACGGTGCAACATCTGCTTCAAAACTTGCCCGTGTCTTTCAATGCGACCCTTTTGCCAGGCTTCAGAGGACATGAATGAGGTGATGCTATTTGCTTGGAGAATAAATCCATCCACACCTGAGAGGTGAACTCACCTGCAGGATCAGCATACACGTGAGTGGGTGCTCCGGCCCATGACATCCAAAAGTCCTGAAACAGTGAGGTGGTATCTTCTGCGGTACGAGAGGTTGTCCTTTTGGCTAACTGAAAGGTTGAACATTCATCGACGCAGTGAATCATATACACTTGGAAACCCGCCCGACCTTTCCAGAAAATGCTATCTAAACCCACTACATCATTGAAGTCTTTGGGGTCATGAAGTTTTCCGGGACGTTGATGTTTGACTTGAATGGACTCAAGACATGCATCACATGCGTATTCAAGGGCAGCCTCAATTATCGCAGGGTCAGCCTTCTGTGCAATCAAGTGGGCTTTCAGCTTGATGGGATCTGGATGTCCTAGGTTCTTATGTAGCTTCACAAGTTCTTGTTCTTGAGAGTCTTCTAAAAGCTGGACCATGAATCGGTGTCGGCGGAGGTGCCCAACCTTCGGGAATGGATATTTGTTTACCTAGTTCTTGTTCTGATTGAGGTACCGCTATATGTCTGTCTGTGTATCGGGGGTCTACTGCCGGCACATCTCGGAACGTTTGCTCTTCATCTGGCGTTCCTGCAGGTGGACGTCCATGTTCATGTGACTCATGCGACCGTGGAGCTCTCTCAGCGAGGCTATCGGATCGACGGCCGAAAGCTGTGAGCGTCAAGCGACTAGGAACGCTGGCACGGATCTTCTGAGCACGAGTGAGGTTCGACCAATTGTCTTCACCCATGTCCAACAGTTTCAGCGTTTGACGATGGAGACGCCAGGTATGTCGAACGTCTGCTTCACTAGTTGATGGGGAATCTAACGGGACCTGAAATCTTTCGGTGCCTCGGCAAACAAAAAGATGTGTCCATTGAATCTGTGGATTGATCTCTCGAAATGCAATGAATGTGGGGTCGTCGAGCTGTATCTTTCGGTTCCCTACCCTTGGTGCCAACCTATGAGCGTCCTGAAATATGCGTTTCCAAACATCATGCTGTTCCGGTGGAACCTCATCTCCAAAAGAGAGAACGTCAGGCCTCAGGGTCAGCGTGGATGGGTGAAAGACATCATCAACGCGACGTCTCTTGCTTGCCGGCTCTCCCTCGATGTCCTGATGAGCAAAAGCCATGTTTGGATGATAGTTAACGGGATCATCTACAGTGTCTAGGATCACACGAGCCACTTGGTTGGCAAACCCCTTACAATAGGTTGCACAAAATTTGGATAGTTTGAGGCCTCCCGTTGGTGTTGCATAGGATCCTGCAATCGACACATGTTGACGCGTTTGAGGGCATTTTCTATCATGTAAGTGGCTTTGAACAAACTCGGATGTGGACAGCAGGTGACTTCGTTTCCTAAGAAACAGTTGTGTGTTTGGAATCCTCAGTCCGAATGCACACATGTCCAGGTGAATCGGCAAAGTCAACTTCTGCATGGCTTGTCCGTGGGAAGTGGCAAAGGCACCAGAGCCCAGTGGATGTTCAAAATGAAAATGACGGCCATGTCGACGCTGGTACTGGCACAAATCCAGGCATAGCTTTAGATGTTTTCCTTGGTCAAATCTTGATTGCGCGACATGTTCAAATGACTGTGTACTGCGATTCAGATTGAATCGGCTCCATCCTCCCCACGGGCCACACTCCGGAGAACACCAGATATGCTCTGGTTGCCAGTGCTCAATCAGTTCCCACAGCTTTCGCTTGCCTGTGAAGGTTGAGAGGTCTCTTGAAATGTGAACCTCGCAGAACCTCCTAACTGACGAATGCTTTCGGTCAAAGGACTGTTTTCAGAAGCATACACCTCTAGCAAATTAAATTAAGCGAGGGCGAGGTCCTGAGAGCACGTTGGCCTGCGCATACACGTCATGGACTAAAGCTTCAGCAGCGTCCAGGGATGGAACATCACAGCTCGGAGATTCCTTCTTCAATTCTTCCCGCATGTATTGAACATCCCCCTTGAGTTCAGGATTGAACAGCTGATCTAGCTTGGCAACGCTGTGCAACAGACATTGGGCATGTTCCTCAAAAGGCGTCAAGTTCATTGAATCGGAATTCGATTGGCTGTTTGTCCCTGCTGGACAGTGCGGAGCCACGTGTTCATCGATCGGACATAGGCCACGTAGTCCTTCTGTTCGGGAGTTAAACTTCCGAACCGCTGAATCAGCCATTGGACATATCCGGGGTCCTCGTTGCGCACCGTGCGGTAATCCTTCCCCTTGTGCTTCTTTCCCCAGCCAATTGGCTTGGTTCCCCACACACCCAACGCCGGAGGCAGGTTGGGCAGCTGATCGGGTTCGGGAATCACGGGCCAGGCCTGCGCGTGCTGATCGGTCAGCGGCTGAGAGGTCGCCGTGCCCGGTGTGGACATGCTGGGCATCGGAGTCGAGGATGAAGTTCCCGTTGCGCGGACCGTTGACACAGCGGCTGGTGTCATTGTCGGAACGGGTGTCGTGACGGCTTGGACTTGAGTTCCCACGCTGTCTCCGAGGTCTCCGATTGAGCTTGAAGTCCTGGAGCTTGACTCGGTGATGGAGGATTGCGCATTGTTCCAGCTCTTGCCGGACTGGAAGCGCCTCTCTGATTTGGAAGCTGTTCTAAAACATCTTCCAACATGGCCCTCTGGCTCTGGAGTTGGCTCTGGAGTTCGATGAGCATGGTCTGGAGTTCGTTGACCGGCATGTCCCCTTCGGCATCGATGGCTGTCGGATTCTCCATGATCTGGAGACTGCAATGCAGAAGCATCGAGAGGACTTGGATTAGGACCTCCGACACCTGTCGAATCCCCTGGGTGATCTCGGCACGTGGCGGCATTCCCGAAAGGACGGGGGTGTGCGCGATCGAGAAACTTCGAAGTCTTGACCTGTTTGCTGCGCTGGGATTCCGACACATTGGATGAAAGACTGCTGAATCCTACAAAATCTGAGGTCTCATGACTCGGAACCTGGTGGCCTGAGGATGGACGACTACACAGTTCAGCTACATTCAGTAGATACAAACCTGACTTGTTCACATCTAAATGCAGTTTCCGTTTTAGACGATGTAAAAAGCAGGTGTCTGAACGAGTGTCCAAGGCTCCACCCAACAGCTTGAAAGCTCTCTTGGAAAAAAGGAAGGGTGTTGAGCCAGGCACAACCTCTATGGTCAACCACAAACGCTTCTGATCTTCTCCAGAGATCAGCGGCAAAAGGATGCGGCGCTCACTAGTCAGATGTGCACCGTTGCCAAAACGAAACTTCACTTTACTGTCAACGCGTTTGATGGATTCTTGAATTGTGGAATCCAATTCTTGCAAAAACAATTCCATGTTAGTTGATCCTATCACACATCGTGAGGCTCCGGTGTCTAAGATTGCGTGTGAGGCCTGGTGATCGCTCGAAGCGATGAAGCTATTGTCCATCGCACAGGGCCGGTGTTCTGGCTTCTCTTCATTCCTGGCCGGGCGAGAGTCATGTGGCCGAGACGTGTCCGAATCGGATGGCTTTTGGAATCGATGGCAAAATGCCTGCATGTTCTTAATTAATCTTTGATGTTGCTCACTTGAACATTGAATGACGAAGGCAGTGGCTGAATCCCCAAGATTACAACCCCTATCTACCTTACTCCCTTCAACAATGCTCTCGAAATCGGTTGGTCGATCGACACTGGCCTGAGAGGCATCGGAAAACACTTCCAAAACATCTTCAGCTGGATCCGAAAGGCTTTCCAAGAGTGGTGGAATGCCTAAGTCAAAAGATGCTTCAGCCAGGTTCGCACTCTCACGGGTCTGAGTGGTGCTTGAGTTGGCACGATTTGGACACTCAGCCCGCCAGTGTCCGCGTTCACCGCAAGCTCGACAATGTGATCTAGCGATCCGTGCCAAGAGCTGTTCACGCTTCTTTCCCTTGCCTCCTCCCTTTGCAGCCTTACCCTTTTTTCCTCCTTTGGAGTAGGGATTTGAACTCGACTGCACTGGCCAGAATCCTCGGGTCTTCCGCTTGTCTTGCAACTTCTGTCTCGCATCAATGTAGGTCACCAATGCATCATGCATCGATGGAGTGTCCTGCAGAAACTCTTCCAATTCCTGTTCGAATTGTTGCACTGCGCAAGCGTCCTCGTCGTTCTGGGCGACTAGTGCTTCAATGTAATCTCCATCAACTTCGTCGTCCAACGCAGTCAAGAAGGTGAGCGCTTCCGTCGATGACGCTGGATGCGAGACCCCTGATTCTGCATCATGGGAGGCAGCAAAAGCCGGTTCGCTATCACATTCTGTCAAATTGACATCATAGACCTTAGTCTTTGAACTCTTGTTGCCCTGCAAATCTAGGAAAAAACGGCTGCCCAGCAAACGAAAGGCCTTAGTGACCTCAGGATACCTCAACTTGCCACCTTGGTCAAGAACAATCTTCTTGCGGTCATCGGGTGACAATGTCGACTGGCGTAAAAGGACATACGCTCGAATCTCCTCAAGGGTCGTGCCCCTTGCAAGCAGCTCTTCAAAATGCACCTCTGATCTGGCGACATACGAGTCGTGGCTCTCGTCGCTCTTCTGCAGGGTGCCATAGAGGGCTCGCTCAAAAGTTTCATACTGTTCTTCCAACATGGTCATGCCCCAGGATCCACCTAGAGTCTCAACCAGGGTGATGACCCCGTCAACTGAATTGGTCTTCAACTTTTCAGGTGAAATCCTCATGACCTTGTGGAAGGCCGCGCCTTCAACCAACAACGCCGCACGGGGCGCTAGCACCTCAAGATGCTCCTTTGGCCAGATGCTGGCAATGAATTTCATCTTTTGATTGTATTCCTGGACATTCGTCGTTCCAGGAATGAACTTAGGAAGACTGGACCATGGGAGCGACGTGGAACTCGACACGCTGCCCGAGGCCTCCTCGGGAACAGGAATCGACGATGCATCCGCTGGTGGAGGCATTTCAACAAGCCGTCAACAAGGCGTGTCGCCTTCAATGCTCAATGTGTCAATTGCACGACTCAATGCACCCTTTCAAAGTCTAAAGCAACAATGTCAGCCCACCGACAATGCTCGCCTGCAATGAACAATGCACCGATGCTCAATGTACAACACCAAGCAGCAACACGTTCCAGCAATGTACAATGCTCAACGTGATCGACCGACGGTCAACACCAAGCAACCAACAAAGCAACCAATGTCAACGCTGTATGACAACACGCAACCACGTGATGCAAGATCAAAATTGAAGCTGTCCGGTGAAGTCCGCTCGAAATGCAAGAACTGTCAACCGTGTCCGGTTATCGTCCGTTCGAACGCAAGAGCACGACCGTCACACTGGTCAGCAAAGCCCTGGATCCCACTCTTCGGAGCAACAGGCTCCGCTACCAATGTGAAATTGGTAGCGGGCCAACCTCAACAACAACAGGTGGAAACCTTGTTTCCAGTGAAGCCCTGCTTCAAGAGGAACACAACCTCAAAGGAATGGACCCTGTCCAAAAGGTTGGAGCACCGCTCCACCGCAGCCCGCCCTATGGCTCGCGCTTTTCCTCAAGCGCTATGGCTCCCAGCCCTCCCACCTCGAGCCCCTTCTGGCATCGGTGAGAGTCAAGCGTGACGAGACACCTGGAGATCCTAGGCTGGTGAGTATACACGTTTCACAGCACACTACTTTACAAACAACTGAAATGGACCTCCCCCCACGTTGGTTCATATACCTCAAAGGTCTTGACGTGTATTATGACCCTGCTGAGTAAGTTAGTGGGGTATCGCTATCAATATCAAGTGAAAGAGATGTCATTTTCATTGGGCCAGTGTATATCGTATATATATATATAGATATCCGTTTTGACAATAACGATTCTGTCACGTTCCACCCGTGCCTCAGCACTCATTGCTTCAGGCGATGTTTGGAGAAGCCGTGAACCTGGATGACTATGCCCAAGCTGCTTTGTTGAGCGAGTGCGAGGAGCGGCAGAGCAGCCTGCGGGCCGCTGAGGCCCACAAACTGCCGGTGTGCGAGGGATGCAACCATTGTCAGTTTTCTTTCAAGCAGTGGATGACTTCAATGATTCATCGGTTTACTGGTGTTGCAGGGTTCGTTGTGGTTGCAATGTCCGAATTGATTTGCCTCCGTCATGATGGCGTCCGTTCCTTTTACTGAGGTTTTTGGATGCTTATACAGGCTCCTTTGAAACTTTTGTGGATGCTAAGCGCCGGCCTACTGATGGGATTACAACCTTTCTGTGGTTCAAGACAATTGTTCGCTGGGTGGTTTCTTCTGACCGGAGTGAGTCTCCTTTTCGCTGCAAACACAGCTTCTAGCTCGCTTCAAGCTTGTGAGGCAGAACTCCTGCACCGGGTTGTTCGGCAGTTGGGCGTCTTGGCTTCGATCGGAGTAAGTGGCGGAGTTGCTTCGAGGCTTTGATGGAGCGTAAGTCGTAAGTGTAACCTGGATGGAAACCAAATGTGGCTATAGTATGCTATAGTAACATTTGTGAATTGAGCGATCAAATACAAGTCAGTAATTTTTGAGTTCCGGTGCCACCGCGATGTAAAGTTAGGTTTGGCAAGGGATTTCCAAAGTCGCCCGTGTAGTTTGGATGCTTTTCGTTTGGATGCTTTTCGATCTTCAAAGTTGGCCTCCAAGGTTGACAAGGTTTTGCCTGCATTTGCGTTTGAGTAGCAGAAGCTCTCACAACTTCAAACCAGGTGAGTTCATTTGGGTGTTGCAAACAACAGGAGGCACCACACCAACAAAAACACCCTTGAGGAGCCCAGTTGTTGCAACAGCCTGTTCATGCTAAGGCTACCTGCCAGCTCCATTGGCAGCACCAAAGTCCCTCTCTGAATAGTGCAAGTGCTTCACCGCAACTTGTGTGGACCAAGCTGTTTGGCCAGGGGTTCCTCAGGTCCCTTTGGTCACTCGACAAAAGTGCTCTTGGCCTCATGAAGTGTGGGCTTCTGCGCTCTTTTGGGATCGGCGCCCCAAAGGGGCCATCCTGACATCCACTCCGCCTAAGAGAAAGGGTGCTCCAGGGGCTGGTGGTTTGGTTTCAGTGGTCAGTGATGAGTGAAATCAAATTCGTTGACTAGGAGACCTTGCTATTTGAGGCCCTAGGTCTGGAATGCCCTACCCCTTGTTGCTACAAAGAACACCTTGTGGCAGACGACTTGCAAGCCTGGCAGACTGTACAACCGGGTACAATTTCGACTCGAGGAGTCACTTTCTTACATCTAGAATCTAGACAGAAGTTTGTCAAGAATTTGGGCCACAAAAAAGTTGACTTGACCTTCTTGACAAAATGGATGACCTCATCGCGAAGCGAAGCAGTGCGAGTCACGCTTTCATTTGGCTCTCAGCACCGCGAAGCTCTGACTCGACTCATCTCGTCCCGAGAGGTGCGACCGTCATGGCCTGGCGCGCCCAGCAAATCTGCTTGTGATTTGACATTTTAATTTAAAATAAATTTAATAGCTTCTTGTTACTACTAGTAAGGCACCTGTTACTACTAGAATTTGAACCATGAGAACTGCGTGGCCTGGTTGTAGCTTGGTTGTCCCCATCAAAGATTAACAGAGAAGGGTGGCAGCACCCAACTCAGGGAGGAGCTGGTTCCTAATTAGCCTATTTCTAGCCACCAATTGAAAGATGCTGAAGGAGGATTTATGAGGCCAAGGGTATTGGCTCCCAAAGAGCCAGCTGCTTAATCTGAGTCGAGGCCATACGTCTGAGCCGCCGCTTGTTAAGTGTGCCTGCGATCAAGGTGCGCCAGATATTGTCCCACCGACCAAAGAAAGGCGAAACATATGAAAGCTACTTTCTCTATGCTGGATCGATGGAAAATAGCTCGACATTCCCCACAAACAACTGGTTGGCAGCTATCATCAGTCTTGTCGCTGTTTATCACAGAAGGCCATTGCTCCATAGCCTCTTCAACTCATAAATGTCTTCAAACACATTTCAATGGAGGCTAGGTTGCTAGGTTGTTCATCGACTGGAATTAGGGGCAGGCAAGGCAACAAGAAACGGAAGCAAAACGGAAGCAAAGGAGCAAAGGACGCTACTAGGGGCTCCTGGCCTTACTACTAGGAACAAGAAGCTACTAGACACTCCTGGCATCGCTACTAGGAGCAAGGACGCTACTAGGAGCAAAACGGAAGCAAAACGTAAGCAAACGGTGGACACGAAAGAACTGTTGTTTTGGCTACAGCCCGAAAGAACCGACAGTGTTCGCCATTTCGCTTCCGACGGTGTTCCATGCCGCTGCCAGGAGTTCGCCCAGTACGAGGCCATCAAGACCTCCAAGGCTCAGATGATGGCCATACACTCGGATGCACTTGGCACTCGGTATGGTGTGAAGGGTCAGTGAAGGGTGGGAGCTGCACAACAGTTGGGTGGTCTGCCGAGTAGGACATGTATTTTTTACTATTTTTTGCCCTTGGTTTGAAGTTGAAGAAAGTCGATTTGTTGATATTGCACTTCCGGCGTATCTTCTAGATTGTCGATCTACGAAACGTTTATTATGTCTCAGTTTCCAAGATATTTTTTTTTCTTTGTCAGCACCCATGGCGTGAAGGAACTTCAACCACTTAGGAAGATGCACTTAGTGGGGTGAAAAGCTTCAGACTCCCACTACTTTTCAAGCCGGTTGTATATATTTGAGTCTTTGAAGCATAGGACTTGCATTGAGACTTCAGCTCAGAAGGCAAAGCTTAAACGAATGGTTCTCTGCCCAAACACCGAATTGAGGTCGGCTATTTTACAGGCCACTGGAGTACGGCCGGCAAGATGTACAAAGAGCAGTTTGAGGCCAGTGGAATTGGAGGTAAGGTCTAGCTTTATTAGCGAGAGACATTTCACGTCGTCAAATCCACACCGACACACCGTTTTATACTTGGAATAGGTCAACAGATTCAAAAGGCAAGAAATAGCGGCAGCAGGAATACGAGGGTTCTCATTATCCAGGGTCTCCCCCAATACAGAACAACCTTGTGCTTTGCTCAACTTGCAAACCATTCGTATTAAACAAAGACTTGTCACCGACAAGCCAAATTTTGACATGCCAGAACTATCAACAAACGGATGCACGACAAGCCAAAGGATGCCGTGAGTCTTTGGAGGCCATGGCCAAGTCATATCCCAAGTATTCCTTCTACACCTGCGACGTGGATGATGCTCCACTGGCGGCCTACGATGCCGAGGTACGACGTGCGGGTTGGGCTCCTACCCCAGTTTTGAGCTAGCCCAGTGGCACATGTAGAGCCCGGAAACCAACATTTTTCAGAACCTTGGGACACTCTTTTTGACTCCTTGTGCTTGCAGGTGATTGAGATATTGCGTGCAGGAAAGAATCAAATTGGATAGGTCCAGGAGCTCCCATTGCTGGGCCTTTGAACAGGTTCAAAAGCATCAGTTGTCGTTCTACCAAAAGGTCAATCCATCCACTTTCTGGTGGCTCCTCTTCCTTTGCGTAGCCATCGCCGAGCATGTTGCTGCCATGTGCAGGTGACAGAGGTGCCAAGTGTGGTGATCCAACCCTTAGGTTTGAAGCCTGATGGTCAGGGGGCCAAGCCTGGAGCGGGCCACCAAATCATACCAAATCTTTGTTTGTGTTGTTCTTTCTAATTTTGTGTCAACTGATGGGCAATGCATCAGGATGTTTGCGTCACTGCATGGTAAATGCACAAGCCAAAATGCAGCAGAAAACTCACAGCCTGTAATGCAAAAAAACATTCTTCAACAGTCTTAGTCTTCTGATTTGATGTCATTTTTTGTGGCTTTCAGCCTCAGTTTTGTACAAGTCATGATGTAATGTATATATATATATATAAACATTTTGTTGAACAAGTCGTGTCTTTTGCTGCCGTGGTCCAAAGAGCTGGTCCAGAGATTGCTTCTGCAGTTTGGGAGTGAGTCCCGTGGCCGAAATCAAGCCACGTGCTCCCCAAAGAAAGGATACGGGCCATGGTGGCATTTGCTGAAGAAAGTCTTTGAAGCTGGTCTTCCCACCTCGGCTGACAATGTTTGGCACCGTGAACATCGAAGGTAAAGGAAGGCAGAAAGAAAGGAACGAAGGAAGAACACATCAATTATCAAAACTAAAAACAAGAAATGCCTGGAGGAAGAAAGGGAGAGATCAAGAATAGACTCATAAAGAATGTAAGCTAGACTGGTGGAGGCCTATGAAACGGTGTTATGCACCTGGACACCCAATGGACACATATGGAAACTATATTACATAGATAAAACAATTCTATAGATAATCCAAAGACATATTTCAATTTCGATACTATATATGGTTATATATATACATATTTATTACTGGAAGCTGTTAGGTTATATTATTGACGCCCCCGAGTGACATTGCAGAAGGACCTGCAAAAGTAACATTACATTGTTTACGTTCAAAACAATATATAACATGTTTATTCCATTACATTGTTTAGATACCAAATCATGGAAACATGTCGGTTGCATTGTGTGGCGTCCATCCACTGTAATTTGTGGGGATCATGTATGTATACACATACATATAATATATATATATATATGCATGCAAATTGTGATTCAAGGTTACTATGGTCATTTTCGTTTGGCTAAAGGTAACTTTTTCTCCATGGTCCGTCCCCCTTACAACTCCATTCACAGGCTCATACTATGACAAGACGGACATGGCTGGGCGCCAAGAGGAATTCAAACCCGGTGGTGATGGCCTCGCTGAAAGATTGACCTCGTTGCCTGCGTAGCTGGGTTTTGAGCGCCCTGATGATCACTTGCTTCGCACCTCTTTGGAGGGTATATCCCTCTTGAAACCTGACAGAAGAAGGCTTGTGATCAGATCAGATGAGTGTGGCCCTCTCGAGTAATTTCAACAGACTCTGCTGATGCTGTGCATTTTTCTGTAAGAGAACAGGGAACCGGGACCGCAAACACTAACACCAGTGCCTTTCAAGGTTACTTAGTCGGCACCAAAAAGTCGTCGTTTGGCATTGAGATACCTCTGAGGCTCCACATGTTCAGGTTCCATGTGTGATTTTTAGGGGCGAACAATGTGCCCTGCTCGGGCGGCCAGACAATCATTGGTGACGCATTTTTGGAACCACAGCACTAAACACCTGAGGTTGTGGTAGCGCCCGAACTGGCCAAGTTCGACCAGGCAAGGAAAGATTTGTGGCTTTGCATGAAGGTTGAAACTTAAAGGCATGTTTATGCCAGTCAGGAAAGCCAAATAGGCGCGGGTCAAAACGCAGGAGCTAGTAGGATTTCTATCTGTTTCCTATTGTATACAGTAAAGTTGCTTGAAGGAGTCTACTCTTCTCAGATTTCAGGGAAGGAGAGCGAAAATTCAAGAGTGGTATACATTCTACAGCTTACTTGCATTGCACATATCTTCCTACCGTGAAAGGAAATAGGCTGAGACTAGCACGGACAAACAGGACTCTTCAGTTCCACTACCCAGCCCGCAGCACACTGAAAACTAAAGGTGCTGCCCAAAGCGAAGAGTGTCGTGGACTCCATTGAGGTTTTGGACGATGAGGCGTTTGCAGAATCCTGATAATTTATCCCATCATAAGATCATAGTCCCAACAGGCAAGCTTTTGACTGCTCAGCATCTTCCATTGTGCCTCCAAAGTTGATGAACCATGGTTTGTCGGATTGCATGACAGCTTACTTGCCGAATGTGAAGGCATATGTATATATACATATATAAATATTTGCAATCTGCAAAAACTCATTCACAGTTCTGGAACGTTTGCAGATGGTTCAACTCAAATCTATTGGAACCCTTGTCCAGTTCAAGTTTAGTGTGGATGGCCCTGGTGGGACTCCACGATTACAGCCGGGATCTGACAGTCAGCTGAGCTCATGATGTCATGTGTGGGCAGGGCGAGCGACAACCGTGGCAGTTCGATCCTGCCACAGGCCTGGGTTTCCGTGCTAGTCAGACGCCAACTTCTGAACTTCTCGTAGTTGGAAAATATGGTCGGATTTGAAACCTCACTTGTCTTGGTAAATCGTA